ACCCCAAATTTTTCACCGGGGAGGGCGGCATGGCCCGCACAAAGTACGGGTTGTGTTGTGCCGGCCCGACACGACCCACTTTACACCTCTAATTGTAGGTACATGGTGGTCACTTATGATAACAGAGGAGGTGTCAAACTAATACTATGCAAATGCCTGTAATGAGTCCATAACTCATTGTACATCTGCAGATGAGTTCATAACTCATCAAACTTCTGTGATGAACTCTTAGCCGAAACAGGATGCGATGAACTTTGGACCCACGCGGACTTGCGATGAGTTTAAATTCATCGTAGAACTGGGATGAGCATATACTCACCACATATTAGAAACAAATAATAGAAACATGTGTTGTTAAGTAACGCGCGTGACAGGACACCCCATGAGCCTAACGAGGGTGCGCAAGCTAAATAGTGATGTCACCCATGCCACATCTTTTTAAATGGATCACGAAAGGAAGTGGCACACGTGTATTACGAGAATCCTCAAACGAAAGGAAAGTTCGTCATTGAGATATCTCATAAGACATGTGGCAAAACCGTAGTAGTGTTCCCTAACAACTAACACAAAATCCAAGCTTCCATTTCTTAATGGAAACCAAACACTTTTGGCTCATTCCTTTTGGGACCTCAGGATCCCCTCCTTATAAATAGGGGTCCAATTCATGACGAGATAACCATTCTATCACCTCATTTGCCCTAGCCTCTAGCCTACCTCCTATACTCGACTTTCCTTTATCCTTTATGGAAACTCCCGTGCATAGCCAAACCACCTCACTCACAACAATTATTAAAAAATTAGATTTATGAAATGAAACATTTTAGACTAAGAAATATGGGAAATTTATCACTTTTTCATATTAAAAATTACATTTAAATTAGGTCATTTGGTTTTGGTCGGTTTACAAATGGCCAAAGTGAAATTGATCCAACTTGGTCGGTTTCATACGTTTGATGAATAAACCTAACTGAAATTAATTATTGTTATTTTTGTATTATAAAAAATTTGTTAAAAGTTGTATATAAAATATGAATAATTATTAATTATTTAAAAAGTTAAAAATATAAAATAATTATATACTCTTACGTGTTTCTATTAGGGCCATTTACTATAACACACCTTATACTTTTACATATTTACTTAAACCTACCTTATAGTTTTCATTTTACTAAAATATCCCATATATTTTACAATTTATCTACTTAATCAACATTTCATTAAGGAGTGTTTGTTTTGCCATTACACCCATGTTTTTTTGTTCCAAAAAATACCCTTAACACTTTTTTATACAAAAAACAAAATTGGCCAAATATAGCCAATAGAGTGGTTGTTCGTGTCTTATTAAGGGCAAAATGATATTTTTATTTCTATTTTATTTTGATTAAATTTATTTAAACGAACATTAGGGTCAACACTGTCATTTTTCACTATCATCTAATAGAAGATTGATTAAATCCGTTGCAAATTATAAGTGGTGTTTTAGTAAAATGCTAACTATAGGGTAGATTTTTAGTAAATGACCCTTTCTAATATTTAAAGAGGTTCTCTCATAAACTATCTCTAATTCCTATTTATCCTCTCCCCCACTTTTTATCTATATCTATCTAAAGAAAGTTTCAATTAAAAAAAATCAAAACTATTTAAATGTTATAATGAAATTATATACTAAATTTAAAATATTTATTCAAGACACAAAAAACTAATAGATTTAATAATATTCATATTATTCATAAATCAATATTTTTATAAAATTCATCACGAAATTATGTAGTAACAATATAAATTATTCAACTTAAATGTTATTCAAACAATAAAAATTTAACATTAAAAAATAAAGCATTATTTAAATATTTCAATAACTAAAAATCCTAAGAAAACCTAAAAAATAGCTAAATAATATAAAAATATTTAATATTACTTAATAACATTAAAATAAATAAAATTTTTAAATATTTTACATGTTATTTAAATATTTAAATAACAATATATTTAACATGACAATTTTAAATAGTTAAAATAACAAAATTATGTAATAAATTAAAAAATATATAAAAAATAGAAAAATAATTATAATATTCGTATTAATAATAATTTAATATTTTACAAAATTAATAACGAATTATTAAATAATAGTACAATTATAATTTTATGGATTATTAAATTCAATAAATAATTAATATTTTAAGAATTTAAATAACAATATTATTTCAATAACTAAATAATATTGTACATAACTAATTTCACTTATATCAATTAATAATTATAAAAATTAACTATCAATCAAATTATATTTATTAGTAATAATTTTACAATAATAGTGTATGCTCATTATATATTTATATATACTATAATTAATATTTATTTTATTTTTAGTAATTTTCAATAATTATTTATAAAAGTTTTTTTGTTATTTAATAGAAAATTATCAATAATTATTAGAGATTAAACTATTGTTATTTATTAGATATTAGACTATAAATTTAGTTGAAATTATGAGTGTTCAATGATCGGTTCAGTTCAGTTGTAGGTTGTTTCGCCAATCAAATCAATCCGGTCAAGCCCGCAGTTTGTCACTCGAAACCGATTGACCATTAGCGAAAACCCACCAACTCGGGTTGTATCGGTTTAGGCATATTGTTTAACTTTCGCTTAACAAAGCACGAGTCCCTCTCACCATGGCTCTTCGTGCTCCATTATTCCCACCCTACATTCTCTTTGACTTTTCTCTCCTCTCCCCTTCCCACCACTCCCATTAAGCCATGTCACCCTTCCCACCACTCCCATTAATCAATAGGAAAGTGTCATGTTGCCCTACTCCCTAATAAGTTCATAAAATGCATCCCCCCAATCTATATTCACTCTCCCTTGCTTAAAAAATTTATATTAATTAATAAATAGTTAAATATGATTAATATTTAATCCCACCCACATTCAATGAGTATTAAATAGTGTTAATACCAAAAGTTAATAAATAGAGTTAGTAAATTACAAAAAAATAAATATTCTTATTAGTACATTTAGTAAATTACCAAAAATTAATAGATATTATTATTAATTAACTCATTAACAACATTTTACAAAAAATTGAAAACTCTTTAACTAATTTCTATAAAATTGAGAATTATATTTAACAATTATCAAAAAGTATAAAATTTTAGTTATTGTTATTATTATAATTAATAACCAAATACAAATGGGGGAACAAAATATTATAATGTTAGAAAATCGAATTTTAATTAATTTATATATAAAAATAAAAGATTAATTAGTGTAATTTTGTTAGTAAACTACCAAATAAAAAATATATTTAATAACAATTTAAATATTTTTTCAATAAATCCCCATAATAATAGAAATGTAATCAAATTTTAAAAATTTTTCATAAAATTACATTTTCGTAAAATAACTTTTGAAATTAAAAGATACAAAGTATTTAAAAGTTTATTTAAAATGAATTAAATAATTAATCAAAATTATTAGAATATTTTGGAAATTTTAGGAAAATTTATTACATTTGATAGATTTTGGAAAACCATTGAAAATTTATGTAATTTTCCTGGCAAATTATTGAAAATTATTAAAGATAAATGACTATGGGAAATGGAAAACTATAATTTGAACAAATAATTACACAAATTATTAAGATAAATTAGTATAATATTGGAAAAAGGAAATCATTGGTTAGTTTATATTAGAAATTATAAGATAAATTAGTATAATTTTATAAGTAAACCATTTAAAAAGAATATGAATTATTTAATAAAAATTAAATAAATTTGAATAAAATTTCAAAATTACACAAGTTCAATAAATTTTCCAAAATTTTCATAAAATTACATTTTTGAATATTAAAGACAGTTTAGTGTACTTTGAGAAATTTACCATGTGGTTGATACTCAATATATCCTTTTGATCATTTATATCATCAAATTGAATATTGGGTTGATGGGGACAGTGTTTTCAAAACTGGATCAAACCAAATGGTTAGACCGGAAAAATTGGGAACCGGACACCGTTTCACCTCAAAACCGTTTTTTTGTCCAAAAAACATTTATTTGGTTAGTGAACCACTGACCTGGGTGATCAAACCATCATCCCGAACAACAATTTTTGGCCTTTTTTTTTTTTCTAACTTTTTATTTTATTTTGTTAGAACGGGTCATCTGTTTGGATTGAACAGTCAAACCGTTTGACACCATAACGGTTCCCTATTTGGTCCAATTTTAAAAACCTTGGACGGGGAGTGGGTGCCTTGCCTTGAGCTTGGCTTGGTGTGCGGCATGGCATGGCCCAAGACTCGGCCCATGGACCAGCCTGACCCATGGCATGGCACGGGCCCGTGTGGTCTCAAGCCATGGGCCGTGCCGAACCGACCCCCCAAATTATCCTAGAGGAGGGAGGCACGTTCCAAGACGTCTTGTGGGCCAGCGTGCCGACCCATCATGACCCAATTTTACACTTCTACTTGAACTTGTCCAATACTAGGGATGGGGCAGGGAATTCGATGATTCTCCATCATTGATGAGGAGTGGAGTGCCTTGCTCCTAAACTCGCCCAACATTAAGGAGTGGTTACCTTGCCCTGAACCCTCGTGACACTAGGGACGGGGTAGGGATGGGGTAGAGTGTCTTAACTATGGGGCAGGGAAAGGGATGGGGTGCCCTGCCCTGGACCCACCCCGTTGTCATTCTTATATAATTGTTAATAATTAGTGGAATTAATAAAAATGTTAGTTTTTATAATTATTTTTACTTATTTAAATTAATCAAAAATTAATTTAAAATAATAAAAAGAATAAAATTTATTAAAATTACAATAAATTATTAATAAAACTAAATTTATTAAAAAATATTTGCTCATATTCAATTAACAATAATTATCTTTTTATAAATCAACATTTAAAATTATTATATATTTCAGATTTTCCCGTGCACCGCACGGGTCCCTGTTAGTTATATTATAATATACAAAATAAACTCACTCCAATTCCTGCCCAATTCCATGTTGAAAACCCCGCGCTCTTTCGCTCTCTCTCCTCTGCTCTGTCCAGACTTCGAGAGTATTCGATGCGTAGCAAGGGCAACAACTCCACGCTTTTGGAGCTCTTCACACTTCAGGCATTGTGAGAAACTGGTATCCAATAATGCCTGCATTGCCAAAGGTTAATCCCTTGAAGAGTAGCTTCGAAGACTCATGTTAGACACGAAGATGTCGTATAATGGCGACGATGAAGTCAAGGACTCTGCAGAGACTGCGAAGCACTTCGAACCTAGAAGGTATGGTATCAAAAGTTTCGGTTGACGTTTTTTTTGCTAATCTTCTGTGTTATCTACTCCAAGTCGTTTCTAACTTTTCTCTGTTGTGATGTTTAGTTATCAAATACAAATATTTCAAGTTGCTCTTCGAAAAAATACGATCGCCGTATTGGAGACTGGAGCTGGGAAAACAATGATTGCTGTGATGTTAATAAAAGAAATTGGGCGAGCCATGAAAACCAGTGGAAATAAGATGCTAATTATATTTTTGGCACCAACTGTTCATCTTGTTAATCAGGTAACCAAGATAGATATTTATTATTCTAGTTCACTATCGGTCTGAACTCAGAATTTGCAGTACTGCAATGCCTAAAGATTTCATTTATTTTTCTCGTATTCTTATCTTCAACTTGCTCTTATGCCACATTCCTTCATCTGTGAGGCATCAAGCATGGGTTCAGGGGGAGTCTAATAAAGCGGGTGATTTTTGTTATGTCATTCGTAACGACTATTAATGTTGTTACTCTCTCTATCTCTATGATTTTGTTTCTTTGACTTATTTTATTTTCCGATTTCTTTCCCCCGACAATTGTTTCCTTTTGGTTTATGTGCATGTATGTCTTTTCATTGGTGATAATTATCATTGTTGTTATTAGTTGAAAAAACAAACTTATTTCTCGTGTGGCACACCAATGACATATTCTTCTGATTCTGTCTGTCTGTCTCCCTCTGTCTCTCTTTGTATGGTCTGTTTACTCATTAAATTTTTTGTTCTGCATACAGCAATTTGAAGTGATTAAGATTCATACAGATTTTAAAGTGGAGGAGTACTATGGAGCAAAGGGAATTGATGAGTGGAGTGCAAAATGCTGGGAGAAAGAAATCAGTGAACAAGATGTAAGTTTTGCTTAAGTGTTCATATAACAAGATCTGATTTTCACTCCTGCAAGATGTTAAGTTTATTTCTTTAATTTTTTCCATGGGGACCTATGTAAACATTACATAAGAAATGATTTATGTTTAGTTTACTAATGGTTTAGTTCTTGATTTAATCTATTGTTAGTCAATTTAATATCTTATTAATATGCTACATTAGTCATTAATATCTAGCATGTGATCATGAATTATGTTTCAATGAGGAGTTCCTTTCCATGGTTGGGCACTTTTTTATTGTTAGGTGAAATTTACTTGACACCCAAACACACCCTATAGTGGAGTAAGACTTGTCTTGCAACAATCAACAGGTTAAACACCACACTTATGCAGGGAATCCCTTGTTAGGGGTGCAAGTTGGGTACCTGATTTTAGGATTTTACACGGCATCGGGCCTGGGTTTCCGGGCTGGGCCCATTCAAAAATCGACAAAATCCCATCATGAGCCCACCCAAGTTGCACCCCTACTCCTTGAATATTTGATTATTTAATTATTGTAATCAATAATGCATGCTCCAAATCTAAGTGTTGAATCTTAACCAAAATAAGAAAACGAACATGCATAAATAAATAAACCATTATAATATCTAGAAAATTAGAAATGCTAGGTTCACTATATAGAATTGAATAAAATAATTTTTTGATGCTTTATCAATTTCAGTATCCCTTTTCGTAATAGATATAAATTATTTTCTGCAGAATTTTAATCTAGTTATTTACATTATTGTATATTATTTGACAATTGACATGATTTATTAAATGGCTATTTAATAAGCTAGAAAATTGAATGCATATATATATGTACATATATTTGTTTTAGTACTTAAGTTTTTTTCTGGTCTATTTAATAAGGTAGACCAAAAAAAGGGATATTATCTAAAACTCACCATGACTTTTTCACTTTTCTCTTAAACTCACCATGACTTTTGAAAACCTCCAAACAGACCCTTATCAGTGAGTTTTATTGTCTAAAACTTACTTTTCTTTAGATTTCTGTTAGATCACCATTAGTGATTATTAACATAAGTTGTCCACATAAGCACTTAAATATTTTACATGACCAAACTGCCCTTGAATGGTCAGTCAAGCTTTTAACATATATTTTAAATATATGCTGGTTGGAACTGGACGTGCCCCTCCCAAGTTCTAGTGTCTTGCAAGAATCCGAGAAGGAGTTAGCCCGGGTTTACTCTGAATTGAACAAGAGTACATCACAGAGAGGTAAACAATTGGGTATAGGAAGAGATCTTTGTGCAGACCAAGTGACAGGGATTATTTTCCTCCAATCCGAGGAGATAGAGAGCTCCAATTTCTCTGAATAGGGAGTGACAACCAATCTTCCTCGTTTGAATACCCCTCTCCACCGTCAGTTGATTTCAGCTGGAAGACAACGACTGTGATTCTAGAATTGTGGCAAGGGCTACAACTGCTTCTCCATGGAAATCCATCCATGATTTGCTTCCAGTTTTCTCCCCTTGGATCAGGTACGGTGTTAACTCTGGCAATCAAATAAAATTTTGGGAACATCTTTGGGTTGGGGTTTCACCTATGAAGGACCAGTTTCCTTCCTTGTATGCTCTGTCAGATTTGAAAAATGAATCTATCTCTTCTTTTTTAGTTCCTTCAGACTCCACTTCTGGTTTTGGGTGGAACCTCGGCCTACAAAGGGCAATTAGGGATACAGACTTGGACAGCCTCTTACCTTTATTAGCCATCCTTGAGAATATCTTCCTTGATCCTAATAGGGAAGACACCAGAATTTGGATCCCTTCTACTTCAGGAACCTTCTCTTGTGC